CAGGTGTGCGAGGTGTGATCTCAGGTGTGCCAGGTGAGGTCCCAGGTATGTCTCAGGTGTGCTAGATGAGGTCCTTGGTGTCCCATATGGGTCCCAGGTGTGCCAGGTGAGGTTTCAGGTGTGCCAGGTGAGCTTCCAGGTGTCCCCCAGGTGAGATCCCATTTGCTCCCAGGTGTCCTCCACGTATCCAGGTGAGCTCCCAGGTGAGTCCCAGGTGTGCCAGGTGAGGTTTCAATTGGGATCCAGGTGGTCCCAGATTGTTCATCAGGTGTCCAGGTGAGATCCAAGTAAGCTCCCAGGTGTCCCAGGTGAGATCTCAGGTGTCTCATAGGTGTCCAGGTGAGATCCCAGGTGAGGTCCCACATGTGCCAGGTGAGATCCCAGGTGACTCCCAGGTGTCCCAGGTGTCTAGGTGAGATCCCAGGTGAGATCCCATTTGCTCTCAGGTGTCCCCCACGTACCCAGGTGAGCTCCCAGGTGAGTCCCAGGTGCCCAGGTGAGTCCCAGGTGTCCCAGGTGTGCCAGGTGAGATCTCAGGTGTGCCAGGTGAGGTTTCAGGTGGGATCCAGGTGAGAGCCAAGTAAGGTCTCAAGTGTACCAGGTGAGATCTCAGGTAGTCCCAGTAGAGTCCTAGGTGTCCAGGTGAGGTCCCAGGTGAGTCCCAGGTGTGCCAAGTGAGGATTCCAGTGGGATCCAGGTGATCCAAAGTGTCCCAGGTGAGACCCAAATAAGGTCCCAGGTGTGCCAGGTGAGTCTCAGGTGTGCCAGGTGTGGTCCCACGTGTCCAGGTGAGGCCCCAGGTGAGCTCCCAGGTGAGTCCCAGGTGTACCAGGTGAGATCCCAGGTGAGATCCCATTTGCTCCCAGGTGTCCCCCACGTACCCAGGTGACCTCCCAGCCCCTCCCCACCCCCTCCCTGTCCCTCCCCTGCCCTCACCTGCCCTCACCTGTCCCCCCCAGGCCCTCACCTGTCTCACCTGTCCCCCCCAGGCCCTCATGGAGCGCTTCAACGCCGACAAGCGAATCTTCTGCTTCATCCTCTCCACGCGCAGCGGCGGCGTCGGCGTCAACCTGGCAGGTGAGGCCTCACCTGGGCGGGCAGGTAAGGCCTCCGGGGCTCACCTGGGGGGCTCACCTGGGCGCTCACCTGGCAGGGGCCGACACCGTCGTGTTCTACGACAGCGACTGGAACCCCACCATGGACGCCCAGGCCCAGGACAGGTGTCACCGCATCGGCCAGACCCGCGACGTCCACATCTACAGGTGAGGGCAGGTGAGACCCACGTGGGTCAGGGACGCACCTGGGGCACACCTGGGGGCACCTGGAGGGGCTGGGGACACACCTGAGACACCTGGGGCACACCTGGGACACACCTGGAGGGATGGGGACACACCTGGGACACACCTGGGCAGGTGGGGGTGTCACCACATCGACCAGACCCGTGACATCCACATCTACAGGTGAGGGCAGGTGAGACCCACGTGGGTCAGGGACGCACCTGGGGCACACCTGGGGGCACCTGGAGGGGCTGGGGACACACCTGGAGGGGCTGGGACACACCTGGGACACATCTGGGGGGCTGGGGACACACCTGGGACACACCTGGGACACACCTGAGACACCTGGGGCACATCTGGGACACACCTGGGGGGCTGGGGACACACCTGGGACACACCTGGGGGGCTGGGGACACCTGGGACACACCTGGGCAGGTGGGGGTGTCAGTGCATCGGTGAGACCCGTGACGTCCACATCTACAGGTGAGGGCGGGGACACACCTGGGACACACCTGGAGGAGCAGGGACACACCTGGGGGGCTGGAGACACACCTGGGACACACCTGGAGCTATGGGGACACACCTGGGGATACCTTGAGGGCTGGGGACACACCTGGGGACACCTGGAGGGGTAGGGACACACCTGGAAAGATGGGGACACACCTGGGCAGGTGAGGGACACACCTGGGACACACCTGGGGACACCTGTAGGGATAGGGACACACCTGGAGGGAGGGGGACACACCTGGGCAGGTGAGGGACACACCTGGGGACACACCTGGGGACACCTGGAGGGATAGGGACACACCTGGAGGAATGGGGACACACCTGGGCAGGTGAGGGACACACCTGGGGACACCTGGAGGGGTAGGGACACACCTGGAGGGAGGGGGACCCACCTGGGCAGGTGAGGGACACACCTGGGGACACACCTGGTCAGGTGAGTCCTCCCTAGTGCCCTCCCCTGGACACCTGGGGGGTCCTTCCCGGTGCCACCCGGACACCTGAAGGGGGTCACCTGGGCTCACCTGTGCCCTCACCTGTGCTCACCTGGGCAGGTTGATCAGCGAGCGGACGGTGGAGGAGAACATCCTGAAGAAAGCCAATCAGAAGAGGATGTTGGGGGACATGGCCATCGAGGGGGGCAACTTCACCACCGCCTACTTCAAACAGGTGAGGACAGGTGGGACAGGTGGGACAGGTATGGACAGGTGGGACAGGTGAGACAGGTGAGAAAGGGATGGACAGGTGGGATGGGACAGGTGAGGTGGGACAGATGGACCATAACCATCAAGGGGGGCACCTTCACCACCACCTACTTCAAACAGGTGAGGACAGGTGGGACAGGTACAGACAGGTGGGACAGGGATGGACAGGTAGGACAGGTATGGACAGGTGAGGTGGGACAGGTGGGCTGTGGCCATCGAGGGGGGCAACTTCACCACCACCTACTTCAAACAGGTGAGGACAGGTGGGACAGGTATGGACAGGTGAGACAGGTATGGACAGGTGAGACAGGTATGGACAGGTGGGACAGGGATGTACAGGTGGGATGGGACAGGTGAGGTGGGACAGGTGGGACATGGGCATTGAGGGGGGCAACTTCACCACCGCCTACTTCAAACAAATGAGGACAGGTGGGACAGGTACAGACAGGTGGGACAGGTACAGACAGGTGGGACAGGGATGGACAGGTGGGACAACTGGGACAGGTATGGACAGGTGGGACAGGTATGGACAGGTGGGACAAGTATGGACAGGTGAGGTGGGACAGGTGAGACAGGTGGGACAGATGAGATGGGAATGGACAGGTGGGGTGGGACAGGTGAGACAGGTATGGATAGGTGAGGTGAGACAGGTGGGACATGGCCATCGAGGGGAGCAACTTCACCACCACCTACTTCAAACAGGTGAGGACAGGTGGGACAGGTGGGACAGGTATGGACAGGTGGGACAGGTGAGACAGGTGAGAAAGGGATGGACAGGTGGGATGGGACAGGTGAGGTGGGACAGATGGACCATAACCATCAAGGGGGGCAACTTCACCACCACCTACTTCAAACAGGTGAGGACAGGTGGGACAGGTACAGACAGGTATGGACAGGTGGGACAGGGATGGACAGGTAGGACAGGTATGGACAGGTGAGGTGGGACAGGTGGGCTGTGGCCATCGAGGGGGGCAACTTCACCACCACCTACTTCAAACAGGTGGGACAGGTATGGACAGGTGGGACAGGGATGGACAGGTGGGATGGGACAGGTGAGGTGAGACAGGTGGACCATGGCCATCGATGGGGGCAACTTCACCACCGCCTACTTCAAACAGGTGAGGACAGGTGGGACAGGTATGGACAGGTGGGACAGGTATGGACAGGGGAGGTGGGACAGGTGGGCCATGGCCATCGAGGGGGGCAACTTCACCACCACCTACTTCAAACAGGTGAGGACAGCTGGGACAGGGACAGACAGGTGGGACAGGTATGGACAGGGGAGACAAGTATGGAAAGGTGAGGTGGGACAGGTGAGGTGGGACAGGTGAGGTGGGACAGGTGGGCCGTAGTCATCGAGGGGGGTAAGTTCACCACCACTTACTTCAAACAGGTAAGGACAGGTGGGACAGGTGAGATGGGAATGGACAGGTGGGGTGGGACAGGTACAGACAGGTGAGGTGGGACAGGTGGTCTGTGGCTATCGAGGGGGGCAACTTCACCACCACCTATTTCAAACAGGTGAGGACAGGTGGGACAGGTGAGACAGGGACAGACAGGTGGGACAGGTATCAACAGGTGAGATAGGGATGGACAGGTGGGATGGGACAGGTGTCCCCAAATGTCTCCAGGTGTTTCCAGGTGTGTCCCCAACCCCCCCAGGAGCCCCCAGGTGCCCCCAGTTGTGTCCCCAACCCGTTCAGGAGCCCCCAGGTGTGCCCAGGTGCCCCCAAATGTCCCCAGGTGTGTCCCCAACCCCCCCAGGTGCGTCCAAGTGCCCCCAGGTGTGTCCCAAACCCCTTCAGGTGCCCCCAGGTGTGTCCCCAACCCCTCCAGGAGCCCCCAGGTGTGCCCAGGTGTGCCCAGGTGACCCCTTTCTCCCGTGTTTTTTTCCCAGCAAACTATCCGGGAGTTGTTCGACATGAGCCCCGAGGAGCCGCCGCGGGACAGGGACGGGGACAGGGACGGGGACAAGGACGGGGACCCCCGGGGGGACCCCAAGGACAGGGGCGACACCCGGGGGGACACCCGGGGGGACACGAGGGACAGGGACGCCTCACCTGAGGACGACGAGGACGCGGCGGCCACGCGCGGGACCCACATCCTGGAACAGGTGAGGGGGGCACCCCAGTGGCACCTGGGTCACCCCAGCGTCACCTGTGTCACTTCAGTGTCACCTGTGTCAGCCCAGTGTCACCTGTGTTACCCCAATGTCACCCCAGTGTCACCTGTGTTACCTGTGTCACCCTAGTGTCACCTGTGTCAGCCCAGTGTCACCTGTGTTACCTGTGTCACCCCAGTGTCACCTGTGTCAGCCCAGTGTCACCTGTGTTACCTGTGTCACCCCAGTGTCACCTGTGTCAGCCCAGTGTCACGTGTGTTACCCCGATGTCACCCCAGTGTCACCTGTGTTACCTGTGTCACCCCAGTGTCACCTGTGTCAACCCAGTGTCACCTGTGTTACCCCGATGTCACCTCAGTGTCACCTGTGTCACCTGTGTCACTTCAGTGTCACCTGTGTTACCCCGATGTCACCCCAGTGTCACCTGTGTCACTTCAGTGTCACCTGTGTTACCCCAATGTCACCCAAGCGTCACCTGTGTTACCCTGATCTCACCCCAGTGTCACCTGTGTCACTTCAGTGTCACCTGTTTTACCCTGATCTCACCCCAGTGTCACCTGGGTCACCTCGGTGGCACCTGTGTTACTCTGATGTC